CCAGATCAAGAACTCTTCTTCATCTGGAAAATCAGAGAAAGCCGAAATATCTGCACCACAAATTACATCTTCAGCTTCGTTGAATTGATCTTCCACACTTTTCTCTTATATATATACATGTTTTCACTTCATTCAAGGGACACATTTGTTTCGTTTCGTCGATTATCGTATCAATTCGGTTTTCATATGTTTTTTCCCATTCACTGATACAATAAAGTTAGAGGAGAGTCAGATTGCAGTAGAACGTTTCTCTAACAGTACCTCGAACTCGTTTAAAGCATGACATGATTGTCAATCAAGTTATAGCCAACAATGGTCGTCAAATTATTCAAGGTGTGAAAAATTCCGGTTGGTTCAGTTTTTCAGTTGAGCACGCATACGGTCCATTTTTGCACGAAAATCCGCATCTAACACTCTACCACCGTTCTCCCTGTTTAATGAGGCTGTAAATTTCGTAACTTCATCCAATATCGGCAACACTAGTTTCATAAACATATTTTCATGTCGAGTAAAGATTATATGTTGCTGTCTGACATTGGTTTCGGTTGTTGCTTTATTCATTTAGAGTGCCTGAATTCTTTTATCGAATTGTATGTCCGATTCAATCTTGTCAGCCATAAACTTCTCAAATTGTTCAGTTTTGCGTGCCAATATTTCAATATTGTCATTCAGTTTATTCACACACTTATTAATGACATCTAATTTTAACAAAATCAAATTAGTGGTCGTATTGCGTATAGACGCAAATTGAGCCGAAGCGAGACGTGGAAAATCAGCCGGACAATCGGTTGAATAAGACGAAGTAGGAGGAAGCGATAGTAGTTTCCTCGTCAAAGATGCACGAAATGATTTCACAACCGGGCATTTAGGGTCATTGGAATTGTGAGATGATCCACAATGAATACATTTAGGCACGAACGAACACTGATGTTGTTTAATATCGTGGCAGGAGACCCCACAAACTTTGCATGTTTCATTGACTTGTTGACACTGACGTTTGAAAGGACCAATTCCTTGACATTTCGTACAGATCAACACCTTCGCCTGTCCTAAATATTGTTCTACATCATAACTAATATAGTTCACCATTATTTTTCTCCGTTCGAGGACTGTATTTCTCTCTTCGACTGATTTGAATTCAACCTTGAGTAACTTAATATCCGTTTGATTCTTATTCTTTAAACGTATGACATTCTCTGCCGATGGATAAGCATTTTTCAAATCATCAGTAAAGCTAGCGATGTTAATACGTAAACTAACGTTTTTAACGACAATCGATAATTGAGAGGGAATCGAGGGCTTTGAAGGGAACGTATATTGCTGTCCATCAATAGATTGTGGCCAATTTAACTCATCCAATAAAAAAGCAAAAGATTTCGAATTTTTGACGAAGAGAAGGATATCAATTTCATTCGCGGCGCATTTTACTTTTGATTCCCGACAGCCAACAATATCTAATTCAAAATTAACATTATTCTTTATGTAATTTATTAATTCTTTAGCTGTTTGTTTGGCAGTGACCTGACTAGCAGAAAAACGTAAGATGAACGGCTGAAATGAATATCTCGTTTGCGCGAACCTCGTGGCTTCATTTGTGATTTGAACTCTGATTGTTTTCCCGTTGGTTATCGAATCTCTGATTGTAGACGATAGCAGAGTTGTTATTTTGTTGGCTATAACCATTAACATTATTGCTGAATTTACCCCGTTTATGATTATACCGAATAGTACGAACAGACGGATCATTATTGAAATCCTGTATGTTATGATGAACACGTCTTGACAGTATATTGATTTGATGTGAGTACGTTGCAAGTTACAAAGCGTATATGTATGTTTTTTGGCAGATTCTCCCTGGAAACCCAGCTTCATCATTTTCTAATTACTCGCTGGGTTAGGACACGGTGGGCGCACGGCTAGGCACGAGCTTGCGTTAAACCTTTGATTTTTCATTGGACTTTTCTACATTCCATGCCATTTTATGCTGCTTTGCTGAAATAACAAGTCATAGAATCAGAAAAAGATAGCGGATAGAAATTTAGAAGTTGTCGTCCGATAACTTTTGGGGCTAGCACATCTTGTGCAAGTGATTGTGGTCTCTATCTTTTGCCGTACAATGACTAAAGAAAATCAGTGCTGTTGATCTTATGCATCCTACTATTTTTGTATGAGGTGTTACCTTTTAAAAGAGACATATACGCGTCTTATTAATAAATTTAGCATTGTTTTCAAGAAAAATTTTATTTGGCGAAAACACGCAAAATTTTTACTAATTTTGGGCTAATATAAAATTTTCTAAATATTTGGTTGAATACTTTTGCAAAAGCTTGTTTCTTGCAAAATCCACAAGAAAAATGTCATATTTTTTGCAAAAGCAACATTTTACAAACAGTAACAAAAAGATTATCTACAAAATTCTGGGTTAATTGAACTCTTTGCAAAATATCAAAGTATCAATACTTTGATCGAAAGGTTTATCAAGCGCGTTGAAGTCTTAAAGCCCGTGTTCAAAATCGATCTACCTTGGATGAATGCTTCTCTACTGAATGATTTTCAACCTCAATCAACGATCGAATTCATTATCAATCGATTAATGATTGACGACGAAATGTCTGCGTACTGTCGTCTGTTAGAAGAAAATACGGCTATCTGTCTTGTTCAGATAAACTTTTGTAGAGATACAATAACACATAGAGGTTGCTGTTTGGATTTTAAATAAATCTTGTTCAACTATTGTAGAAAAGGTAAAATTCTGTATGTGTGCAGATAACGAGCAACAGTTTTTCACGTTGATTCCCGCGCCGAACATCATGTTTCTCTAACTGTGAGGAAAAAAGGTTTACAAAAAAATACTTTTCTAGTAAAAAAACGGCTTTCCTATTATTGTAGTCACGGTTAACTCTATTCGAGTGCTATGAGAGGCCGAGATAAAGCTGTTGGATTTTTTGTTCTGCTCTCAAATGAAAATTCTCGGCTAGGTTCGGTACGATTTCAAATAAAATGGTGAGTGATACCTCTTCTGACGCAGTTTTAATTAAGTTTTCTTTTGTGATTGAAACCGAAATGTCTTTTATCTTTTTTGATAGAGCACCTACTCACTTGCAATCCTTTTTTTCTGTTTTTTTTAAGCTTCTATAAAACGTGTGTAATCATAAAAGAAAATAATCCGCTTCTAAAGAGCTGTAGTGCTCGGGGCATTTCCTTGTTGTTGTAAAAAAAAGAGATAACACGTTCATTCGTCCTTTCGAAAGAATTCTGTTTCATGAAAAATAATACAAAATGAGCTGCACATCTTCTGCGTCCGTATATGTGACAAATGAAACTCAACCAGTCCATTCTCTGGTAGAAAAGAATTTTTGTTTATTAAGTGCACCTGTTCTTCAACGTTCACGTAATTTTCAATGGTACTGGAATTTAACTAAAGATCAAGAACAGTGGCAGAAGTACACTGACGTCGAAAACGAATTCATTGAAGATGCCTACAACGAGAAAGTGACGACAGAAGTGGAAATTGACGGAAACTATATTATAGACTTTGAACATCTTGTTCAGTACAAGAAAAAAGATTTGCACAAACAATTTCGAATTAAGCGTGTTCAACTAGATGGAAATCGCACTAATGTTCATTTGCGTCAAGCGAGATTTGCAACTCCGGTGATGCTAGCTGCTGCTTGCACGCCTTTGGTCCTTCAAAAAGATCCTCTACCAAAGCAATACTGGAAACTTGAATTGGAGAACAAAATTAAAACAATGGCAGATCTAGTAGAAGATGCTGCTCTGGGAATTATCAAAGAAGGAACAGCATTGGGTAAAGTACACGAAGCTCGATGGCTCGCTAAGCAGCTCTTCACAGTCAAACATTTTGGCAACGATGTTAGAGCACAATATTCTCGTGTTCCGAGAGAAATCGGTGAAACATGTGTTTATCTATATACTAAAGAATCATTTTGGTATAAATCTGTTAATGATCTTTTTCGTAAACCAGAAGCTGTGACTATCGACCAATTAAAAACATGTGCTCCCTTCTGCCATCTGATGCATTGGTATTTAAAGAAAACCTATACGACAGATAGTGTTACAACAGTCTATCGTGGCTTAAACCTTAACGATGAACAACGGCAGGAATTTACGAAAGCAAATATAAAATTTACATCGTTTACTTCGGCTACCAAAACTCGAGGAAACGCGGAACACTCTGGTAATACACTTCTCATTATTCATCTAAATGTGGAAGATCAATTCAACGAAGCTGAAGATGTAATTTGTGGTGCAGATATTTCGGCTTTCTCTGATTTTCCAGATGAAGAAGAGTTCTTGATCTGGCCAGGATCAGACTTTCGCTTTGTAAAAGAGGAATATGATAGAGCGAAGGAGAAATATGTCATATATCTAGGATCCTCACAAAACGATTATATATGACATGAATAAGGCAGTTTTATTTGACGTTTTAAAAAGTCTTTTCAACAGTTACTCAGACAAACAAATGTCATGATGGTGTTATCCTGCCTACAGGATTTTTGGTACGGCTCTTTTAAAAAACAGAACCTAGATATCTTTGTAGTCAATGTAAAGAACTATATGCTCTCTAACTCTCTTGAGATTGAGTGGGTGTGTGGTGTGTTAGGCGTATCATTTTCTCGTTGATTTAAAATAAATATAAATGCTTTTTGATGGTAATTGATCAAATTAGAGATTAAAATAAGTTATTATATTTTACATAATACTATATGCAGGAAATATATCCTATATTTAATATTATATTTATCTATGCTTTATATGTTATACAATATTTTCATCCTATTACCTGTCCTAATCTACTAAAAGGTTCTAGTCCTAAACAAAACAAATCTTTCCGAAAAGCTTCAAACTGAGTTTATGCTCTAGGAAGGTGAGGATAAGGGTGAGGATGAAAAATAATTACCACAATCGCGATTTCATCTCAGTTAACAGAAGAATCATCAGGTGGCTTAAAGATATTTGCATAACAACAGATGAAACTAGGAATGCACCAATTCCAGAAATTGGAATTAATCGGAACTGGAAGTGGTGCATCCCTAGTCTCATCTGTTGTTATGCAAATTTGTCGATCTGTTTTGTTGGAAAAACTGTTCATCACTTATTTTTGGATCTTAAACGACTCCATTTGTACGTGTGCGCTTGCGAGAGGAATCCTCCAACAAGCCTGAACTGGACTTCAGAAATGGATGAGCACATTGTGCGTGAAAAACTTCAATTATCAAAATATTGGCACGTTCATGGCTGGCAAACGACCTATGAAAGACAGATGTCTTCGATTCCAGTTAATCTGCATGTAGCTAAATTTTATGTTGACTAAAACAGGTGTGTGTCTTGTCTAGTCATTTTCGAGTCGTCGCATTTTTGTTCAATAAATAGATTGAATCTCTTGTATGAATTCATTTTTCCCGTTCCCATTTAGATTTTCTTTAAGATTTCTCACTTTGTAGAGGACACTTTGAAATATATGTTGTGCAGCTTTTTAGGCTTACTGAAATAATTTGGCTCGTAAGAAAAAATTTATTACTTAAAATAATGATGTTAAATTTTTGAGCACAGCGCTAGTACTAAAAAGTTTCCTGGCCTTTCCTCTTTCATCATGAAAATTTGGTTCTTATCTAGATCGATATAGAAATGTGCGGAGAATATTTACTATGGGAAAGGAAGAAATGACTTTTGGTTTTCCTTTCCGTTAGCTACAATTTGATATACATATAATATAGAGAAAAAGTGTCCTAGGGTACCTTGACAATAGAAATATTTCTGCAAAGCCAGAATTCTGATCGTAATTCTCAATTTTCTTCATCAGAACTCAACTTTTGTGCAATAGAAACATCATCTTCGGAATCAGGATCAAAAACTGGGTCGACACTGTGTATGTCGAAGTTTTTCCTAGATTTTCATTTCTTGATGAAAATCTGGATAATTTTTTTGAACGTGAAAACTCCACAAAAGCTAAAGTAATCGGAAAGGATGGACAATACACATTGATCGACCCGGTTTTTGATAGTGATGCGGAATATGATACTTTTGTTGCACAAAAGTTGAGTTCTGATGAAGAAAAATTGAGAATTACGGCCAGAATTGTGACTTTGCAGAAACATTTCTATTGTCAAGGACACTTTTTCTCTATATTATATATATTAAATTGTAGCTTGAGAAATTCTCTATCGGATGAGGTACTGTCTGAATGTTTTCGTTATGCCGTTATTTTGTAAACGGGACTTTAATCTAGTAGAGAAGACTAAATTAACGTTAATTAGCATAATTAGTTATTGACGGAAAGGAAACAGATCTAGATGAGAACCAAATTTTTATGATGAAAGAGGAACGGCCAGGATATTTTTGAGTACTAGCGCTGTGCTCAAAAATTTAACGTCATTATTTTAAGTAATTAATTTTTTATTAGCCAAATTATTTCAGTAAGCCTAAAAAGCTTCACAACATATATTTCAAAGTGTCCTCTACAAAGTGAGAAATCTTAAAGAAAATCTAAATGGGAGGAGTGCATTAATCCCTCCTTAAACTCGCAAAATTAGAATGTTATTAGAATGTTGTCAAAATTAAAACATTTGGGACTATTCCATCGGGTCTATAGACAAATTTTAAAAAGAAAACTATTAAACGACTAATATTAAAAATCGTCACACCTGTCTTGGTTTGAGTTTGTGTGAGAAACTCTTTATTTTAGTATCATGTATTTTAGTATCATCTATTAGACAATGATTTCTTACTTTATTACAATCAGTGAAACAAACGATAAAATGTTTCAATTTATTTGCATCTCGACCACCAACAAATGATCAACATGATCAGCAAAATCAATTATTATCAACACGTTTATTTATTATACTATTTGCTTGCTCATTAGTTACTTTAGTTATTTACACATTATCAGTGAATCGTACACAAACAATAACAGTTAAATCACTAACGTTAAACGAATATACAAAACTCTTGAAACAATATTCGCAAACTTTGAACTGTCCGTGTACACAAATAACAATTCCATATGGTCAATTTATTAAACTATCACCTAAATATCATCAAATATGTTCTAGTCGATTTATCATGGATCAGTGGTTTCAATTTATTATTGAGAGCCGACCACCAATCGATCAAATTTTGTTAAGTGATTTTCGTTATTTAGGTCCATATAGTTTTCGATTATTAAATAAATTTTGTAAATTATCATTAGAAATAGTTGAGAACGAATTAATAACATTTTATTCTCAAACTTATTTATCATTACTTGTAACAATAAATGAAACATTTCAATTTCAATCACAATCATTAATAAAACAATTTCAGTCTACCATAAAAAATAAATTTTATGAATTATTACAACTGATAGTAGATAGAACATTAGCAAAGAAATTAATTAGTGGGCTATTAACAAATGATGCTATTGAAATTTATTATGGAGAGGATGGTAGCGATGAGAATATATCATCAAATACGTTTATACAAACAAGATTTTACGCTATATCATATAGTTTAAATGTACTATACCCTTATACATTTTTCAATGCATTCAACATATCAATGCTATGATCTGTCACCAATCATACATAATTATTCATCTACGCTTATTTATGATTATACTATACCAGGTTTTATGAAAGGTTGTTTTATTTTAACATCATTATTGCAGTCAACTTTAGAATGCTTTTATTCTAAACAATGTTTTGAACAGTTACTCTTCTATATGAATGCAACAACCGCAACGAATATTACAATATTAGACTCCTCTGTCCCAAGTCAATATCAATCCAATACAACAGTTCAAGACATTGTGAATCAATTTATGATTGAACAATGGAATCCATTGGTATCATATGATTCATATTATCAACAACGTCATCCTCAACAATGTCAATATACATATAGTGAAAATTTTGATTATATTTATACAATAACAACTATTTTGGTACTTATTGGTGGATTAACAACTGTTTTATCACTTATAATGCCTATTGCAGTTAATTTAATAAGAAGAAAAAAGATGCCACTACCAACAACAGTAAACGGTAAATTTTGTGTTATTAATCATTATCTTGATTTCTGAAATCAAGAAAATAAAATCGATAACTATTTTCCCTTTGTTGTTCCATGCAATTTGGATAGCTGCTACTTTTTGCACTCTAATTTTCGCTTAGCGCAAGCGTTCTGACACGAGATACAAAGCATTAATAATCAAATCATTGTAGAGGAGGATGCGCTGAAAACCCATTTAACCGTGATCCATTAACTGACAAAAAAATACGAGAAATTCAACTATGGGATATTTAATTGCAACAGCTTTAATTAGTGGAACTACCTCACGATGAGAATAAAAAGTATACTGAGAAGTTGGAGTCAGTTAGTTCTACGTAACAAGCATTTTTTTGTTGCCAAGGTGTTTTAGTCTCCACTTATCATGAAGTTATAAAGATTTTGCTAGAACCAAACTATGGCGTCATTTTTTCCTATTTTCAGTTGTTCTCAACCAAAATACTCTTTTTCACAATATCCATACCATACGTGGAATCTACACCAAAAGCTGACCCAAGAATATATTTGTCGAATATTTTTAAGAAAGGTGAAGTCCGCATAATAAGAACAACGGAAATCGGCCTACTAACAATAACCGCTCCAATCGGTCTAAACCTCATCAGAATCACATCCTATTATTATATTCAATGATTTCGACCCTTCCGAGCGCTTTCAGTCGAATATACCCGATAGAATCTACCTGAAACCAAGCGACGGTTTAGCACCAACAGGTTTTTTTGCTCGTCGATCATAATAGCTGGAATAAATTTGAAAAAAGATTTGAACAACTGAAAGAATTTCCGATCTGAGGAAGTGTATACCAAGGTTATATCAAAGCTCATGAAACCAAGGTCTGTAGAAAACCCAAATCTCAGAAAATCAAGTTCCCGAGTTTAATCTAGAAATTCTTTGTAAACAAGTCCATCGTGTAGAGCAACCATTTCTGAAGAGAATGAGACGTCTCCAAGCTCTACACTATGTGTTCTGAAACAGCATTCAATTTACGGAAGGCCGTAAGGGCTTATCTGCTGATGTGGGGGCCTTCCGTAAACTGAATACTGTTTCAGGACACATAGTGTAGAGCTTTTCACGGCACATCGAATGATATATTGCACTAGGCTTAATATGGGATGGTTACTGAGAAATTTTGATTTGACAGTCATAATGTTGGCGCTAAATCATCGCTTGGTTTCAAGCAGATTCTATCGAGTATATTCGGCTGAAAGCGCTCGGAAGGGTCGAAATCATTGAATATGATAACTGGATGTGATTTGATGAGGTTTAGACCGATTGGAGCGGTTATTGTTAGTGGGCCGATTTCCATTGTTATTCTTATGCGGACTTCACCTTTTAATTTTTATGATTTTTGGGGGAGAACGATCCGATTTTTCATTAAATACAGAATATCTTCGAAATAAGTTGTCGAGTACATTATTTGAGGCAGTTTCTGACGTAGATTTCGAGTATGGTATGGATATTGTGAAAAAGTGTAGTTTGGTGGATTGGGTTACGAACAAGTTGAAAATATGAAAAATCTCGTCATATTTGGTTCCAGCAATACCTTTATAACTGTGGAATCATTACAAGTGGAGACTCTGGATCTGTGTAGATTGATATAAGATAATTTTTTCCATCGAACTATCTGGCTGAACCTGGAATCTGTCGTGTCTCCAATATGTAGCCAAGTTATGCACAAAAGGCGCACGATACACCAACCGAAGCTGTTTACTGTGAAACAAAGCATAGATGAACAGAAGCGATTACGTCTCTGATTGACAATACTGACGCTAATATCTAAGTACTTCTACAAGCTTCATCGACAACGGTTACGCAGGGAACAAGGTTTTTCTGAGAACCCTAGGACTACTCTTCCTTTCAGTCAATGTACCTCACAAAAGCACGGAAACATAAGTTTCGACCTTGCTGAATCTCGTGGCAATATTTGTTCTTTAAAAAGGATTTAAAACGTAGAAAACCAAGTTCCTGAACAATTAGGGTTTTCCACCTCTTTCTGCCTATTATCAAAATCATTCTCAATTCACTCAAAAAACATCAGAACGAGTCCAAACCTTCAGGATGCAGAGTATTTGGTCTGTTTTATATTCTTTTCATAAGAAATCAATAAGAAAAGATTAATAAAACCTATGGTTTTTCAAAAGAGTTTCTAGAAAACCTCAGAATAAAACCATTATTTAAAAATTTTTTCGATTTTATAATCACTTCCAGCAGACACAAATAACTATATTCTGAAGCTTTGGACTCGTTCTGATATTTTTTGAGTGAATCGAGGATCTTTTTGATAATAGGCAGAAAGAGGTGGAAAACCCTGATTTTTGAGGAACTTGGTTACACTAGATTTTAAATCTTTTCTAAAGATTTGACTGAAAGGAAGAGCAGTCCTAGGGTTTTTAGGAAAACCTCGTCCCCTGCGTAACTATTGTCGATGAAGCTCTCACTTGGATTCTGTTTTATAGAGGACACTTTCGTGGATCTATTCATGAGAGAAAGTGAATATATTTCTATGTGAAATTTCTCAGTTAGGAAACGGTTTTCCAGATCTTCTTGAAAACCGATTTTTAAAAAAAATTTCCAAATATTTTTAGCAAATGAAAACACGCTCTTAAGTCTTGGCTATCGAATAACGACACCCGCGAGTCTACATCTACTTTCACTCAACAGTTATTCAAAAGATAGCCATCGGTCTTATAATTTCAAATGGATAATAGACATGCACCGGTATGGACTGATGGCAATTCCGCAGTTTTTCAAAAAAATTTTCTAGAAGGTAAAATGACGTTCTTTAATTTTACAGCTGAGCCTTTTAATGCAAACATTTCTCTACAAAATTAGGTATAATAGCATTTTCGGTTTTAAGTTAATACTTATATCACAACTGTTTGCGAAACATACCGCGACCGGCACTGGTACCGATACCGATTAATACCGATTTATGGTTCCTGGCAGAGAAATAACTGTGCAGAAAGAAAAAAGATGAAGAGTTCTGTCATGTCTCATTGTGTAGAAAGATGCTTGTTCTACAAAACTGAATCGTCAAAAAACTTTGATAGTTTGTACTTTTCGGTCGAGATGATCGAAAGAAAGGAGAAAATATACCGTTCCAGAGTTTCGAATTGGATCGAACCAATTTCGAAATTACTCTATATCTTTTAGCTGCGAGAGTTTTCCTTAATTATTCTCTTTACAATCAACGAAAGTTATACCCTATGTAATGAATCGTACGCAGTTTCTTTAGTAATTACGATCAAAAGCCTTCATACTATGATATTCGAGGGAACAAATTGTTCATTAACCACTCAGAATCTGGTAGTCAAGAAAATAGTACATCTTACTTGTTTTGTAGTCTTACCGATACGTCAACGTTTAATAAATTTCTATGAATTAGTAGAAGAAAAAATAAGAAAATTTAATCTATTTGAACCTTATCCACCACATTTTAATGAAGAGCTTCGATATTATGAATTATTATCAACACGTTTTTATATACTAATATTGATTTTATCACTAATTATTCTTGTTTTATATATATCAGTTATTGATCATACACAAACAGTTATAATCAAATCACCAACATCAAAACAATATACACTATTATATGAGCAACATTCATCAACATTATTATGTAGATGTAAAAAATTATCTATTTTATATTCAAAATTTTTACAATTATTACCGGAACGTCATGAAATATGTACAAGTCAATATGTTACCGACAAATGGATACAACATATTCTTTTAAGTAAGGTGCCGGCAATGCGAAATTCAAGTAAAAATTTTTTTTGCCGTTTTTTTGCATCATTTGATAGAGTGAGAGTTGCTGATCACGAAAAACAACTTTTTACCTTGCACAAATATCTTTTTCAGGTCGGAAAATACGAAAAAAATCGACGTATGTCGTATTTTTCAAAAACACATTTTTTTTCGAAATACGCCTTATATTTCGGTTCGTGCTTTCTCTGAGTTTCTGAAAATATCTTTTTCAGATTCAGCATCAAAAACTGAGCCTAGACGAGTTGTTAAATCGGCTTAAGACCCCGACATCTTTTCACAG